TTTTTATAATTTGCAACACTACCTCCCCCACAGTCACCCCACGKTCTCCCACATAGAAACMGRTYTTAAATCTCTACAACTTTTTTCKTGTCATACACAACTGACTTGTGTSAGTTGTAGAGTAGATTTACGACAAACGAAACTCGTGTCGCCGTACGTAGGGATGACGCAAGCAGGTTGCTTGCGTTGGTTGTAAGCAAGCCGTCTAAATCGGACTTTGCACATTTCAATAAATCAATGCGTACGTTTTATGATAAACATTTTCAAATTTCTAATAGTTTGTTGGTGGTACTGATACATAGCAAAATTTACTGTTCAATAAACTACACAAGTTTCTAGAACTGTTTTTAATTACACTTACGTTGCTGAATCAACATTTTGGCTATGAATGTCAAACGATCACCGAGACTTATAAGATATGCTAAGGTTAAAATATGATAATAGTATAGCTTCTAAGTTTTTTTTTATCAATTGCTGACTGAATTTATTGTCTATGAATGTCAAACGCCCACATTGTTGGCTGTAAGACAGGCTGTGTTTTTCGTTTATTAGTTTTTGAAAACATGGTGGGACCATAGTTTTATCAATTTTCTGACTGCTGGCTATAAATGTTAAACGACCACATTCTTGGTTGAAAGACAGGCTGTGTATTATTGGTTTGTAATATATAAAAGTTATAAAATAGCCGAAATAATATCAAATTGATACTTGTAAAACATGAAAAAAATGAAATGGACTTCTATGCCAAATTGTGCCCAGTTCTGTATTCTTTTGAGGGCGTGTCTCTACATGTGCTAATTCTAAATAAGAGTTCCTCATATTATTGGTAGTCGGCTCCTGCAGCATGCCTCGCTCCATCCACTTCTCCTGTCAGCATGCCTCGCTCCATCCACCTCTCCTGTCAGCATGCCTCGCTCCATCCACCTCTCCTGTAAGGATGTTGCCATCTTGTAGCTCGTGGTTAGTGCCACTGATTGAAGATCCACACTCAGGGCACTGGCCCTCTTCCATAGCACCCCTACAATCATCAATGCAATAAATATGCCCTACAATAGACCGAAAAAAATATAAATATTGGTCACTGGTATTCCAGAACTGCAAACTACATTTGTTATATAATTATGTTACAAACTTTAATCATTTAAAATTGTACTTCTGGATTACTCACCTTTTGAGCATTTGAACCAGTGGACTTCTGRCATACCCATGGATTTGATGKTTTTCTCCTCGTCTGTTATATGTTGATGAAATTCGTCCAGGCCGTACTTCTTGAATAATTCTTCAATCTGCTTGGTATACAGATCAATTTCGTCTTTACCTAGGATGGATTCAAATATCGCTATCATTCTCCTTSAATTTTCTTTGTCTATCTTTTTGTGTTATAAAGATAATTTGTGTGTTTTATGCTTGTAAGTCTGACAGGTCAAAATGCATGAGTGCATCTGGGTGAAGAGAGAAATATCACGATAAACATGTCAAAGCAAATATGGTATCAGGCGGGTTACTCCACATAAAGTGCTCAATGCTAGGCATAGCTAGAGTATATGGGATATTCATGACTAAATTTTATTCATAAACATCCCATATACATGTYCAAAGTAATGTGGATATAAAAAATAAAGAGTGACCTCGTCTTGGAGCTACCCAGGAGCTTTAAATGTAGATGACTGGACATTTTGTAGCAATACTTACTAATTCCCTGTGGCGACTTGACAGCATTTGCAATACGCCCAAGTGTTGCACCGACCATCGGCGGGTCAGGTCGCTCTTCCCTCAACCGCGCAAACGTATGGTACGATACAATCAGAGAYAGTCGTAGAAGACCATCATTGATTTCCTCCTTTTCCTGTTCGCTGAACGTTTGCCTTGGYATGATAATGATTCTTGTTATTAGGGCCTCTTTCARCACTTCAATCTCACGAGCTACATCCTTAAAAAGATCCTTTCTGYGCATGAWTCTTCTCAGCAAATGCCTATGCTTGACTGATCTAAGCTTTGAATTCACACTTTCCATTCCAGACATAATRCTGCTCAAGWWGGAAAGGAAGTTGATTTGGTTSTCGTGCAGGTTGAGTTTTTCAGCTGTCRTAGCTGTCATGCTGACAGACTTAATGATATTGTCTAMATCTTGCCGGAATTTCTGGTGGATTTTTCGAGATCGTAGCTTGTCYTGCAAGCTTTGAAATGATYGTTKCAGGTTGTATTCACGAGCAACATTGAGCTYAGCTTTGACTTTCTCYAAGTCCGCTAGGGTTTTCTTGATAACGTTACCATATCGTAAGGCATTTCTGATAGGTGTTTTACATCTTGGACAACTATCGATCAAAGAAAAATATACGTTAATTTGAGGAATTGTAGCTTCGGTTGACGCCATCGTGAAGAATTTTAACTAAAATTTTAATTAAAATTTTAATTAAACAAAAAATCATTATCTTTTCTTTTATTGATAATTTATTGTTTAAACAATTTCTAAGGAGTTTCCAGCAAGCATCAGGAATAAAATGAGAAACATTTTGAAGCTGTCACTAAAAYCTGTATACACCTTCTTTTATACACCTTTGACCTCAACAGTTTTCGCCCTCGTCACCATCAAAGGATTTTGAAAGGCGAATATTGTAAAAACAAATTAAGCTAGATTAAAATTTTTTTACAAATGTACGTGAGATGATGACTGAACTCACCCTTTTAGTTGTATGATTGAACYGTCATTACTAACGTCATCCATGTAGTGGTCCATGGCGTTCTTTTCAATCACGTGACCACATGGCTGAAGCTCAACGAACCGTGCGTATGGCTTGTCTTCGTYTCCGAACACAATCTTGTTAACTTCGTCTTTATTGCAAACTCGACACTTCTTTGGACAAGGTTCACCACACATGCCAATACACCGATGACCACATCGAAGCTTCTTCCTACAGCCTTTGTTGCATCTTGGTCTGTCGCATGGCTCACTGCATGGCTTAGAACATTTATAGTGCTTACATTGCCATTTGCATTTCATCACACAAGGAACACAGGGTTCCCCACACTTGTTCATGCATTTGCTGTGGAAGCATTTATTTTCACAGGGCTGCGAACATGGTGGACAATTCCTTGTGCAAGCTTCTCTACAAAGATGACCACAAAACAACGAGCGATCACATTTAGCTTTACATGGAACATGAAGGCGGCCTTGGAAGCATTCACCACATGTCCCTTTGAATAATCAGTAAAGTTAGTCATTTGCTAGAGAAATTTGACTCCAAATTAAAACTAAAAAAGATGAAAAAACAGTATTCAATGTAGTCCAAAACTGGACCCTCTTTTATCCTCACGCGCGGAATTGAAATCTATATCAATCAACGTTACTCAACGGTCACGATAAAAGAGTGTCCAGAGAAAYTTGTCAGCGCATGCGCCAGTCTAACCCCGTTTTCGGGGTGAATACATTGCGGTCAACAGGTCAAGAAATTTCTTATTTTTGTAAATTTTACAACAATCATTTTGCAAAGAATCACTGCCGGTTTATATATCAGCTACTGCACAGAACACAGTCTAGACGCAAGAACAAATGCGTAACTGACACGAAAAATCGTCCCATTGCTACTAAGCGTAAGAACACAGAATGCCACACCTCTTTTTCTTAAAAGTAATTGAGTATATATTTCTTGAAAATTATATTGGATTAATTGAGAAAGATAACATGTAAGTTTAATAAGTGAAATTTCGGATGACTTTTTAATGGTATGCTTTTCTCGTATACCAAACCAGATGCCAAACGAAAAACGAGCTAAAAGAACTAAGATCAAATAAGATATTATGATATTCAACTCTTGTTTATTCGTAATTTAGGTTGTTTCTTGAACGGAACAGCAAAAATGCTCTGGATAATCGTCTTCATTGTCGTATCGGGAAGAGAAACAACCAAAAATAACTTCATATTCCCTTAACATATAAAAGCTTGATAATAGTTTTTTGGGGTCTTCAACAGCAATAAAACTTATTGATTTTTAATTCTGGACATTAGCAAATAGAAACATAGTCCAGGGTATGATTTGAGTCGATTTTGTTGCTTCTTCATTCTGTCTAGTGAAGACCGTTGACATTACTCTGCCTGCTCCGCGACGAAATGTTCACGAAATCATAAAATAAATAAATAAATAAATAAAGTCTTTTATTTTGAGAGGGTAGCACGTAATAGTCTCTAGACTAATAAACTTGTGGCCCTCTATATATTCACTCATACTCACTACCTCAACATTCATTATTTTACTACACGACACTCCTCACAGCATCAGTTGTTTTTCATCGAAGCTTTTCTTGCATTTCACAAGCGACCATCAGAACGTCATTGTTGTCAAAGGTCATATTGTGCTTCCTTCTTCTGGGATATGAAGTTATAGATCTTAATTTTTATTTCAAATTATAATATAGAAAGAAGATTCAAAGTCATTGCTTGGGCTCCCTGTATCTGAGAAGGGTTCTTTTGATGGACCGTGATTGGCTGGTGTAGCGCATGCGCTGACAAATTTCTCTGGATCCACTTTTCTCAATTTTCTTGAGCGCGCGCGTTCGATTTTTTAAAACTTTTGTCTATAATAACATAGTAATTGAGAAAAGAAGATCCAGTTCTGGACTATATTCAATGCGGATTAAGTGAATAAAATAATAAAATGAGTGGTAAAATGGATGAAGTTAGGAAGAAAAGAAGGGATAATACTGATTGTTACATAGAGGTGGAGAATGGAATTATAAATATATATACAGAGACAACACAATTCCAAATACCGCATGCTTCGTAAATAACTCAAATGATCGATGAATGGAGGGATGCCAGGCTTGAATAAATAAATCAATGATGAATGTGAAGAAGCGGATATTCCCTACAATACCTTGACATAGATGTCCACATTTCAACAGCTCGCGGCAAGGAACTTTGCACGTAACTTTATCGATGTCCATGTAACATTCCACAGTATTTTCGTGCCCACATTTCAGCGTCTTTTGAACTTTCGTTGTGCAATTCTCGGTACACTTGTCAGAACATTTTCTAGTACAATGGTGCAGCTCACAGGCCAACAGTCTTTGGCATGAAGCCTGACACATAAACGTCTTTGGATCCATGAAACACGGTACTTTTTGCTCATGTTTACAGTCTGGAATCTCTTTTGTCACCAGAACTTCGCACCTTCCACACGTTTCCCAACAGAGTTTGAGACATTTATGAATCTAGTGAAAAAATAACCATTAGTCTAATACAAAACGCTTGCTTTACTATCTATTGTTGCATGGCAATTCTCTTTATAGGACCGTAGCTCTCGATGCAGTCAGTCCGGCTTTTTCATCCGAGCCAATATTGACCCCTCCCTTTTATTTCTCTTGTTTATAAAGAAACTAATACTCAAATTTCGAATTCAAAGCAAATAATCGCTGTTTTATTTGACAGCAGATTCTCTTACACAAAGAACTTTCAAACACAAAAGAAAATGTTGCTAGTACAATTGCGCTACAATTTTCATTTTCCCCGAGTTGAGGCTAACCCTGTATTCACAGAATACTTTGCGCAAGAGAATCTGTTGTCAAATAAAACAGCGGTTTTGCGCTATGAATTCGAAAATGGAGTATTGCTATGAATATGTGACTGCAGCTCTCTGTAAAGGTTTGCGATTGAGATAAAATTTGGAGATTTTGGAATTTGAATGATCAGTTTGAGCTGAAGTAAAATCACTAGTACCTATAACGAAATGCTGGGAAACTTATTATTCCAAAAAGATACCTTTTCAAGTGCGGGAAAAAATAAATTCAACATTATTCCTTTTGACTCATAATTTTAGAACGAGTAATAAACAAAGTTGTACCTCGCATAACATCTTTGTACACTTTTCTGGACACTTGTACTTGTTGTGCTCAGGATCGGCCGGATGACAATAACTCTTACACACATGTCCACAGTCAAGTCTTGCAACGCATGGCTCCATGCAGCCTCCCGCTGGTGCTTTTCTGAAGTCCGTTGAGCGAGAAGCGTGAATGATATTCTGGGGATGGTTCCGACACATTAGAGTAAGGTGTCGACCAACCTAGAATAACAAGAAGAAATGTTGTATCCGCCATCTTTGCTGACAAATACATGACATTGT